CAAAACCAATGTTCTTAGCATATCAGCATTAGAAAGCCGCTTTCTTTACCGATTCAAGAAAGTCATCAACCCCAGAAAAATAATCAGCAAAAATCACGAAAAGCCATTCGGAGGCCACCAACTTTTTTCATGCCAAAGAACGGTTATCAACTATTTTCTTTCCTCCCTTCAATCTTTTTGTACAAGCATGTCCCAAAATCCAGATTCCTCTATTCCCCCTTCTACCATTAACAGCACGACAAAAGGAAAAACACAAAGAGGCAAAAATCGAACATTTTCTAAAAAAAAAACATATGAATTAACAAATTCCACCACACAGACACACATAGTCTCGCAGAAGACAGAAACTTGCTCTTGCCTCTACCAAAGCACAACACTCCTAAAGCAAACAACTTTTATTACACATACACATGTTATTATCGAATAAAAAATCAAGAACCTGAGAGCCCATCTCGCGCCGGCCCTTCACCTCGGCCGCAGCGCCGCCGCGGGAGGCGGAGCACCAGGACAACCCCGCCAGCGCCTCCGCTGCCTCCATCTCGCAGGCCACCGCCCCGCCGCCCCTCGCCGCAGGGCCAAACCCCACGCGTTCCATTCTCACAACCCGATTTATTACTGTAGAATCAGAAAATTAAAAATTGAGAAAAATAGGAAAAAGGGAAACTGACGAGTGTGAGAGTTTACTAGTGTTGAGGGGAAAACCTCCTATATAGGAAAGAGCAATACGAAAAGCGAAAAAGGGCGCAAAGGGGCTGACTGAGAAGCTGCCAAGTGTCGCCACGTCAGTGCGCGAGTTGTGCCTTGCGGCACCTATTTAACAGTTGCACTATCGTGTGCCTAGGCACACCTTGCTAGGTGTGCCATGCCCGATTTGCACGCGCTACTCATTCTCAAAAAGTTCAAAAAGCTAGAAAATTTAGAAGGTGTAGTGCACTCTCCCAATTTTTATTTTTTAATGAAAAAATGAGACATATTACATAAATTAAAATATCATTAATTATTTATATTAAAAAAATAAAATAAAAATACCAAAATTCATAATTTTTCATTATCTATAAATAGAGACCACATTTGATAGGTTTTTGAACACAACTAATTTTCGTTTTTTGGTAACATGTTCACCTTATTGTGTATGTAAGATGTTCATTTTATTCTATAACATGTCATTTTATTATGTAACATGTTCATCTTATTCTATAACATGTTCATTTTATTATGTAACATATTCATTTTATTCTATAACATGTTCATCTAATTTTCATCTGTGAAAATGTAACATTTTCATCTTATTAGAGAAGATTTTGGTTTGTGAAGATGGAGGATATTCGATCGAAAGACTAATTTATGAAATTTCTTTTACATTCTACTAGTTTTTCACTTTCATTCCATATAGTATGACTATTGCATAAATTTGAGTTCTTATATGTAGATTATGATTTATTATTTCAAGGCGGGGGTGCTTGCATTAAACGAGTGAAAGTCGAGCAAGAAATTGACCAGAATTTTGTGTATCAAGTGGAAATTGGAGAAAATAATGTGAGAGCCCGTGATGTAGATATGGAATCTAAACATGTCCATCTTATTCTATAACATGTCCAACTTATTCTATAACATGTTTATTTTATTATGTAACATGTTCATCTTATTCTATAACATGTTCATNNNA